TGAAACTGTTGTCAGAAGTCACAGGCTTACTCAAGCAGAAATTAGCCATAAACATGAAAAATAAATTATACCAGTGCCTAGGGGAAAATCCCCTGCAAACATAGTGTTCAGTCAGCAAGGCATGTTCTCAACCAACGAAGCAACAGCGTTGTGCCCACGGGGCAATCAGCATTTTTCCTATTCTGTTAGCAAAAGTGTTAAAAGACAGGATTAGTCTGGACAAACGAGGGCAGTGGTGGTTTCTTCTGCAGGTGGCTCAGCGAGGGGGCAGCCAGGGCTGCAGGCTCCAGTGCGTCCAACAACTGTCCCAGCCACTGCCTCTGCAGCCTCTAATGTTTGTAAAGCACAGTTTGGATTCATCCACAGCGTGTCAGACCTCTCCCAAAATCTGGGCTAGGGGGAGATTTGACTCGTTTTGGCTTGAAGCCTTGTGTTTTACTGGCTCAGGGACCCAGGACTCACTGCTGCCAGGGAGCATGGCCCTGGCGTGGGCTGAGGTTGGCAGCCTCCTCCTCTGGGCTGGCTCTTCAGCAGGCATGTTAGAGCTGCCTGAAAGAGAGGAAAGGGTGGGGACACTCAGATGATGGGAAAAGCCAGCATGTGTTCTGAGAAAAGAAATGGTAAAAGGAGATGCAAGAGGGAACTGCCAGCTGGCAGGTGGTGAGCAGGATAGGGAGGAGGACACCTCTGAGGAGGTGTGGGGCAGGTCTGAGGTTGGGGTCAGCCATGCCTTGGGGCAAAGGCTGAGTTCTGGTCCCCAGCTGCCCAGAGCCTGGCAGGCTGGGGGAATCTGGTCCTTTCAAAGAGAGTTTTCCTCCTCTGCTCATGAGAAGAAATGGAAACCTGTGCAGCTGGCTCTGAGCTGGCAGCTGCAGAGGGAGTGGGTACCTCAGTGTGGTTGGACAGCTGTGCTTTCCCAGTTCTCCTGTGCTCCCTTGGGTGCAGTGATGGGGCTTCCTCATGAGGTGCTGTGGGAGAGCTGTGGAGATCTGGGTGCTGCTGGTGTGTGAGCTGCTCACAACAGAGGGTCCCAGAGCTGGGAGGGGTTCATGCTGACTTTTGGGGGAAGTGCTTTGGACACTTCCAGGATTTTATTGCAAGCAGTGCTTCTCTTTAGAGGATGAGTGTTTAAGAGCAACCTCACCCACACTTATAGAGGAAGAGCCCACATCGTGAGGTGACCTGCAGTCAGATTGTCACATCCTTTAGCAGCCTTGTCCTACCTGCACAGCTGCTCAGCCCAGAGTGCCTGCTCAGGGCTGACTCTGCCAGTGAAGGTGGCAACTGGTGGTCAGGGAGTGCATCATCCCTTTCCTTGCTCTCTCTTGGGAGGGGACTGAGCACGGTCTGTAGCCCACCAGCTGAGCTGCTCAGAATGTGATTTTTGCTTTTCAACCTGGGTCATCACACCAGTGAAATCCCTCACATGGAAGCTGGGGTGATGAGATAAATGTGCCCCTGCCCATAGCATGATTTTAAAACCCTGTGAATTATTGCCTGGTGGGAAACTCTGAAGCCCGAGTGTAACTTCTGGTACCTTCCAGGCTGGCAAACAGAAATAGCCTTTTTTCCCCTCCTGGAGAATGATTTTCGCACATAGCTGGATAAAGTTTTCATTTAGGTTGACTTGCTTCTTGTTTTACCTTAATGTCACAGGTCATTTCCCATCTACATCTTTGCAAAACCCCTGCGATGTTCCTGTGAAACAGTTCAGTACAGATAAATCAAGTTTTTAGGTCAGCTCTGCTTACCTAGGCTTATCTCAATCCCCTTTTCATATCTGGATAACCTCTATTGCACCTTTTCCTCAGTTGTGCTGGGTCATGCCAATCCTCTGTGACAGGCAGTGGCATTGTCCTCTATGAGTAGGATCAGAGGCGATTCAAAGCCAGCACATGCTCTTCACTTTGCAGTCTTCCAGGACTTTGGAGATAGCCCCTAAAAGGCAGAAGATGGAACCTGTCCTGTCTGATGTTGATGCCAGATCTCACAAGGGAGAGCCTGTATTTCTTTGGGTATGGGACCACTCCACTCAACCAGTCCATGGCATAGGTGAAAGCCAAGAGCTTTGAAAATTGCATGCTTGGAAAGTTTAATCCCAGAAACAGCCCCAAGTAAGTGGAGATGTTTTTCCTTACTGCCTCCAGAACTGGCCTCAGTGGTTTATCCTTAGGATCCCACTCAGTCCAGAGTTGATTCCCCTTACATATCTCTCCAGCATCATTTGTCCCCAGGGCAATCCAGCGTGCTCTAATGGGATCTGATTCACTGGCTTCTAGCACCCATGGAGGAGTTTCTAGAGATGGCATTACAAACAATCTCTATAGAATGTGCAGGCAGATAAACCTACTTCTTCCACACGCTGTGGCACTGAGGACTTTTGTCAGCTCCTGTGTTTCTCACTGAGGGGCTGAGAAATGCTCCTCTGGTGAGTCCAGATGCAGCTGAGCATGTGTTGGATATGTGCCCCGTTCCTGTTCCCTCCTCCATGCCGCTCTGGTTTGGCCACATGGGTGCATAAAAAGATCAATAGGAATTTGGCAGACACATTAGCAGACAAAGCAAAAGACAAAAGAGTGATAGCATTAAACACAACCATTAAAAAAAGAGAAAAGCTGAGTTGAAGTACCTTGAGAACAATGATGTAACTGGAATGACTGCTGCTGGTGTTGGTCATGAGAAGCTCTGGGAAAACACATCAGGGCTGAGATGGATACAAAGAAATCTGCCAGGGCAAAGCCACAGAGGGATTGCTCACTTCTAGTGAGCACCCAGATGTTATGAAGACTCCAGCAGCGCCTCTCCTTCCTGACAGCTCTGTCCCATGAGCTGTGTTTGTGTTCTCAGCATGTGGTGCAGGCATGGAGAGGGCTGTGTGATTCCAGAGCAAATGTTCCTTCTTCACCCACACTTTGCCTTTTGCTCCACCTCCCTGATGGTGTTGGTGAGACTTGAGCTTGGCCACAGAAGGTTTAATGTAATGTTCTGTGGACATTCATTCTGCATGTTTGTAGGATGACATTGAGGGATGTGCCTACCCCACTAAAGTGGTGGAGCCCTAGAACAGCGGGAATATGTGGCAGCCAGCCTGGGCCATCTGTGGGGTCTGCAAGGGAAGAGTTCCTGCCCTGCAGAAATCAAGAGGACTTGCAGTTACTCCCTGACTGCTGTAGCTGATATTTACAAACCCTGGGCCTTTACCTTGCCCGCCTGTGGCTGCTTTCTCATCTTACTTTCTTGTCAGGGCCACAGTTCAAGGTCTGGAGAGGTGCATGCTCTAAGGGAACAGGGGAGAAAGTTCTGCCCTGATGCACCTCCCTTCCCTACGTCCCACCACCCACACATGAGCTGGGTGATAATTTGATGGGGGGAGCTGGTGGAAGGGGTGGGACAGGAGGAGGAGAGAGCGTAGTCTCTGCCTTAACTCTTGCTGTATCTCTTTGGCACTCAGTGGATTCCCTGCCTGGACTCCAGTGGGACGGGAGGGGTTTGCCTGGGGGAGACCTGCTCTGGGTTCAGGTGAGTTGGGCGTTTGCATGTTGAACAGACCTGGCTGGATGTATGTGTCACCCTGGGAGTGCCAGTGACTTCCATCCTCCTGCAGCCAGCTGCTGCACGCCAGCTGCTTGCCGTGCTCTGGAGAGAGGGCCAGCAAATCTGCAAGGGCAAAAATCTTCCCAACGTTAAGTAACACAAATTGGAAAATAAGGAGCAAATAATCAATTTGGATCAACTCAGGGAAGAGTTTTTTCTTACAGTGGTTCCTTTTGGAAAAGGAAAGGACAGGCTGAGATGCTGCACAGGGGGTGCCAGGAAGCTGAGAGCAAGGAGATGCCTGAAGGATGGATAATTGATACTGAAGGTTGTGGCAGCAGAGAAAGGGAGAGAGTGATAGATAAGTACTCAGCAGAAATTTTGAGAAAAGAGGCAACAGTGAATGAGACAGGGACAGGGATGAAGGGCAGAGATGACTGGTTGATAATAGGTACAGGAGCCAAGGCACTAGGAGTGGAGTAGGCTGTAGGCATTTCAGCCACTGCCAGCATGAGTCCTCTCCTCCTGTGCTGCCCTGCAGAGGGTGCTGACCCCAGTGCATTGACTTGGGGGCTGCAGTTTTAAAAGATGTTCCTGGGAGTACACTTCTTGTTCTTCTTGCCCCTGAGGTTTCATCAAATTTGTTCCTGTAGGGGTGAGGCAGGAAGACAGCCCAGTTTCTGCATATGCTAAACTCTTGGGATCTCTGGGCATATTTGTGGACAAATGCAGGCAGAATACATGAGGGTTTCATAACACCTGATCTGTGTCTTCTTAAATCAACAGTGCTTTTAAAGTAATCACTACTAATCAGGGCTTTCATCTCATGCCAGTGGAAATGCCATTGCCCTAGTTTTTCTTCTTCGACAGCTGCTGATACAAGAGGCTGAACCTTGGACCTGACCTTTGCAGCTCTGCAACAGCCTAGTTTTTCTGGATTCATGGTTGCAGATTGGTCCTTGCAGAGGGCAGGCTAAAGAGCCCTGTGCTATATCTCTACCTGACTGTGCTGCTGGGCAGGGCTAGAGGAAAGTTTGGGTGCTCCAGGCTGGAGAACGCCTACCTGGCCCCTTGAGGGTGCAGGTGGGATGCAGTCCCACCACATTACAATGTGGAATTATGGCAGGAACTGCTGGAAAACACTTAAGGCAAGTGCTGGAAAACACTTAAGACCTGCTCAGGGTCTGACACGGGGTGCTGGGCTTGTGCCGGGCTGAACAGGGAGCACAGTGCAGAGACAATCCCGGCAGGGAGCGCCTGTGGCCCTGCTCTGCTGCTCCATGCTGGCCACATACGTGTCTGTGCTGAGGGACTGGGCTCACACACACGCTGTTGGCTCCCCTCAGCCTCCCTGCAGTAAAGCATAAGGAAATGTGTTATGCCTCAACCTTGCCCGGCTTTTGGAAAAGTCTTGCTTGGGTGCTCTCCCCCCATGCTCACTGACAGCAAGTGCTCCCCAGCTGTGCTTTTGGGAGGTCAGGCAGGGGGTGCCTTCCTGGAGGAGTTTAGACCAAGTACCTAGGGCAATGTGATGCCAAATCCCTGTGCTGCTCTCCCACCTCAGAACCACTGGCTGCAGTGCTGGCTCTTCTGCTCTCCTGCTCCAGCAGCTTTGCCTCCCACTCTTCCCTCAAATCTCGTCCCTAGCTGCAGGGATGGCATCAGGTGGCCAAGCAGGGCTGGGGGCTGGCAGCCTTTGTGTCTTCATCTGACCTGCCCAGCGCTGCTGGCTGGTGTCTTGCTCCATGAAGCTGCTGCCCCAGACAGGTGGCAGCCCTGTAGGCGTCCTGCACACTCTGTCCTGTCCCTGTGGAGCACTTGTGGGCTGTGCCACAGGTCACTGCCCCACTGTGCAAGGGACCTGTTTGCAGAGGGGGTACTGGAGCAGCATGGCTTTCACCCTCTGTGCCATTCACCTGCCCTGCTCCTCCAGCCAGTGACAGGAGTCGTGCTGGCCACACGCTTTGCACACAAGGACCTCTGAGCCAGCCTGATGCAGCCCCAGGACTTTGGCCAGACAGCTCCAGCCATGGTAGGTGGCTCTAGGGGCTCCACTGGGGCCTGGCTGGATCTGTGTCTGCACCAGACCTATTGCTGATGCTCTGTAAGAAGAATGGATCCTGCTATGGCTGGCCCTTCTGCTGTGTTGCACTAGATGCAGCCCAGACTATGGGCTGAGTGGAGGTCTAGATAATCTAGTTTGATGCAAAGGCTGGTTTCTAGTCATATTTAGACACTATTTATGGACTACATCACTTAGTCTTGGTTTTTTTCTAGGCTAGAGAAAGAAACCACCTCTGTGTTCTGTAGCCCAGAGTAGGGATGGTGATCCATGGATACTAACAGAGACTGATTTGGCCCTGGGAACAACAGCCTGCATTGCTTTTAGCAAGAGATTTGCCACTGATCCTCAGAAAAGTCCGGCCACTGTTAGGGGCTTCAGAGGGTCTCCTGTCCAGCAGCAGAAGACAGAACAGGACCTATTTGGCACCCTCCTGCACTGGGGATATGTGCTCTGAAAGCGTGATGCTCTATAATCCTTGTGTTTTGTATTGCAGATGTCCGTGCCATCAGTGAACTCACTCATAAGGAACTCACTGAGTTCCTTATCTCATTCTTTCTGGTGTCAGTAAGCAGCAAACTCACTGACTGCACAAGCATTGCTCTTATTTCACACTGGAGAAAACACAGGTAGGATCTGATTCTTGTAACAGCCTCCTGTGCCTCATAAACCTTGCTGAATAAATGCTTTGAGAGTACCCTGCAGCCCACAGAACCTGCAAGTTAATTAGAAACTGTAAAGAAGCCAACTAACTTTCAGTTGCTTGAAATGAAAGGCATTTTAATTTTGATTGCTGTCCTGGAATTGATCCGTTTTTCTACATCATTCCTTGCCTTTTTCTGTTATGCAGCTGGAGTGAGCCATTCTCCAGCAGCATTCCCATTTGGAAGCAGCTGTCTCTGCTCACGTAGCTGCTCTTAGATTGCCTGGAAAGCACTTGCTTCCACTGCTAATATTTTTTTCTCTGTCTTGATGACCGATTCCAGTAGCAGCCCCCATGCACTGATTTAACCGGGCTGGTTCCTTAAGCTGTACCTTGGCACTGCTGTTCCTCGCTGAGCCCTGATTTTCTGTCTCTGCTCTCACAGCCGCCCCCACCTCCTGCCATCAAAATGCAGCGCAGGATTTCAGCTGCCGACTAACTGCTGGCTCTGATTGCGCAACCAGAGAATTTTCTGTGTCCTCCTGCTCCTCCTTTTGTAACACAGCCCAGTCTTCTTGCTTCCTGATTCCTCCCTCCCCATCTTAAATTGCAGTTTATGTGCTTGGTTGCTGCTTGTTTCAAAATGAAACCAAGAAGTAAAAATGCAGTGCAACTGTCTGCATTATCACGTGTGATTCTGCATTCTGCAGTTCAAGCAGCACCTTCGAGTGTCCAAGGGAGCTTTAACATGAATGTTATCAGCTGCTTTTTAGAGACATTGCTGCTCCTTCTGTTTCACCATTCCCTCTCGAGATTGTCCTCATCTCATGTATCTTACGATAAAACAGCAAAAGAGGTCAAAGAGAGGATGTTAACTTCCCAGCAGTAGGAACTCCTGTCTGACAGCAGTTGGGAACTGGCAGTAAGCTTGCAGGAAGAAAAGCTTTAGGAGAATTGCTATGGGCTTCTTCCTCTGGTGCCAAAACTCCAGGTGGCTTCTCATCTTTCTTGTCTCGCTCTTGTTCCTTACCTGAGCAGCTTTGAAAAAGCCCTTTTTTACCCTGAGAGAGGCTGAGATAGCACCATATTTTGCTTCAAATGCCCGTTTCCTTCTTCTCTTTTTTTTATTACTGCCTCTCCCATTCAGTGGCATCTTGTTTCCAAACAAAGCCAAAAAATGTTGTTCTCCTTCATATCTGCATTGTGTCTTCAGCACACCATAGGCAACTGCTGAGTGACCACAGTGCTTCAGAGATGTCCTTGTTTTTCCTTGCCCTTTGTGACCATACTTGAAGGATCCCATGGTGGTAGGTGTGGGACAAACACAGTCCAAAATTTGTGACTAAGGGGAGACTGTCTTGCCTCATTCAAATGTTCAAGAATGGAACTTGTTGCTCTGGGTCTATGACTGCCTGCATGCTGCCTGCTCTCTGTCCAGGTCCTACAGGAATCCAGGTGTATTCTTGTTTTCCCAGCAATAAATCTTCTGGGGAAAAAATGTGGCTATCTCCATGTACCAAGCCCAGTACCAAATACTGTACCATTTCCTATGGAGCTGCATAGAGGGAGCTCTCTGTGGGAGTATGACAGACTACAGGTCATTTCTGGGAAGGGCAAAAGCCATCTCCTCCAAGCACTGAGGGCTGAAAATACACCAGAGCACCTCTAGAAAAGAATGGTGAGGTCAGGGGGAGCTGAGGAGGGAAGGTGGTGGTGGTTGAGGGGGTCCACGGGAGGGGTAGACTCCGGATTGCATCAAGATGGTATTTCAGCAGTTGGGAAAACTTTATGGCAGAGGAAAATAAGAGGCTGGGAATGGAGTAGTCATAGGATTTTTCTCCAAACTTTGGCGAAGGAACAGCAGAAAAAGTGCAGGTGAGCAGTGAGGGGCACAGTCTTTACTCCAAATTCATGTATGAAGGAGGGAACAACCAAAGGAAGAGGAAAATGTTTGCCTGTTGGGGATGATGTAACCCAGTAGGTGGCTGTGACTGCTGTGGGAGAACCAAATTGTTCCTAGCTGGAAACAAGAAGTTATTTGAGTCCCCATCTGGCCTAAGAACATATAGAGCAGAGGCACAGTAGGATTAAATGTTCAGGAAAAGAGCCAGGAGGTGTATGAATAGGCTTTCTCATAGAATCAGCAGGCAAAGCAGAGAGGGATGTAGTGGATACGTGCAATGTGCATGGCTTTGTCTAGGAAAGGAGAAGTTGTGGTTCATGCTATGAATGGCCAGAACTTTGGGCACCAGTTTAATTCACCATCTGTTCCCACTTGAAAAGGTTTGATTTCATAGCCAGTGTGCTTCCCCCCTTTTTAAAATAGGAAAATGAATGCAGAAGTGCTGTGTCTCCCCTGCTGTTCTGTGTTTCTCCCAACTGTGTTAATTATTGCAGCATCCCAACTTCTATCCTTCATGTTTTCCTATTCAGGAGTCAGAGGACATGTTAAAAGTCCTGGTCCAGGTGTCCCTGAGGTGGAGGCTGGTGACAGGGTTGGGGCTGTGGGCTGGCACTCATACATTCCTTCCCAGGGCTAGGTGAGAGGAGGTCATTCTCTGATTGTGACCTTTGCATCCATATGTGAAACAGGTTTAGCAAAAATGAAATAAAACCACAAATATTAGTAGAAATAGGCTGGCTCTTAGATCCACCTTACATTAAAAGAATAAAAACAAAGAATTATCTAGTCTTCTCCTGCCAGTTTCCTGGGACATCCTCAACAAACCCAGATTTAAACATCATTGTACTTGATAATGTGCCCTGGTCTGCAGCAAATTGGAATGTGCCAAGGACTGTGACAGATCAAGCACGTTTCATTAAGTACGTGTTACTTTTTCTCTCACATTTGACAGTACGTGGAGCTCTGCTCCTCTCAGAGATGAGGAGGCTGTGCTGCAGCATTGGAATAAACTGATTAGCCAGCTGGCAGGCCTTGCTGCAGGCAGGCAGTGGGGAGAAAGGCCTTGCCTGGCCTTCAGAAGCTGAGCAATGGCTGGCAGGAGGACCTGATGATTCCACCTTCCAGTCCAACCCCGCAGAAGGGTAAAGGGAAGGGTGCAAATCCGGGACTGGAAGGACTGCTGAGCTACTGGAGAGCTGCAGAGCTGCAGCTGCAAGCCAGCATTTAGGGTGTGTGCCTTGATTCCTGGGTTCCACCACCTTTAAACATGGGGTTATAGAGGTTTGTAGGAAACTCTTACAGGGCTGATTCACCTTCACACTCTCATGTAGATCCACAGGTGTTGTAGCCCTCGGTGGTTTGGATCAGTGCAAGCCATACCAGTAAATAGGTCCTTTCCAGCATATGGACCATAAAGGGCAAGGGCTGGAGATAAAACAGAGGTTGCTTCCTCAGTGCCCTCATGCATCTGCATTTGACACCAAAACTGGTAGTGCCCACTGCAGTACTGCCCATCTATAGGCTCTTACTGGCAATAGTTCAAAAAAACCTCTTTAATTTAACAGGGACCAGGATCTTTCTGCCATGTTTTTGAAGAGGAAGCTGTATTAGCCTGGAGGATGATCTTCACTAGCCCCTGACTGCTCTCCTCTATGGTTTATGTCCCTCTGATCTTGTTGCAGCCCCTCTTACACTGGTTGATGTCTCTCATGAGATTCTGTCCTCAGTTTAGCATCCATGTAAATCTGCTGCTATAGTAAACCAAATAGGATGAGTCCTTCAGGAAAGCAGATGGGGGAACAAAGCCTGTTGTTGCCTAGGGCATTTAGAGAGCAATTGGTATATTACATCTGATTTCCTTTCTTTACTTGAATAACAGGCAGGAAACATGCCTGTGTCAAAGAACTACTTGTTCTGCTGTGAACATTCATTAGAAATTGTCTTTTCATACATAAGCATCTTTCCTTGCCCCAGGGCCTGATATATCCAGAGGGTTAGCATTTAGGAAATAATTTTCTTTACAGAAGAAAATGAGACACTTTGATAATGATGCTGTCTTGTGTGGATAAGTGCAAGCTGGCCCACCAGCTCCTGCTCCCACTTCCTCCTTTCCTCATTGAAAACGACACCAAAACAAGTGCCATAGTGTTCCTTGGCTGCTGGGACAGCTAGGGTCTACATTTGCTCTAATTTCCAGTTAGGTCAGGGTTCCTGGTAGTCCCTACTCACCATGAGATGGCTCATACCTGGTGTTTGTCCAGAGGGACATGAACTGGAGAGACACCAGGCACAGGAGGGAGGGAACAGTTTGCCATCATGGTCCTGGTGCACCATCCTGGTGCAAAGGGTCAATAGAAGATTTGGTGGTCCTGTAAGGTAAAAGGACATCAAAGGTGATGAGGTCCTGCTCACCACTGACCTGCTGACTGGGAGAGGTCCTTGTCTTGAGCTGCCTCTACAGCCAAGGGAGAGAGCAAGTTTAAATAGTCTAGAGCAGATCCAGGGGCAGTGGAAATGTTGAGTGTTGTGGGTGATGCAGATTGTTGTCTCTGTTGCTCCCTGAAGATGGGGATGTTCCTTTAGGTGGCACAGAGGAATGAGATGTGCTATTTAAAAACTTATCAAATCACCAGCAAAATGGATTTGCAAATTGGTACAAAGGAACAAAACCCTGATTTCTTTGCAGTCCCAGCTGGTGGGAATGGAAGCAGAGATGCTGCTGCTTTGGAGAGACTTGCTTTCAGTGTATTTTCCTAATCTCAACAATGGAACGTGTATCCTTTGCTAAAGCAAATCACTTCTAGAAAGGCCAACTTCTGCTCAGTAATGCCACCAGTTAGATGTACCTAAATTTACATACTGATACTGGGAACACATCTTATTGTGGTGTCTGGTCCCCCCACTCCTCTTCCCACAAGTGTGTCCTGCAGCAGCTCCCTACATCCCATGCTCTCCTTCTCTTCTGTCGCACAGAATCATGACAAGAGCCATATCCAAGGAAGGAGAACCCAATGGGGCCACCACATCTCCTGAAGAGATAGAAATGGAGGAAATGGAAGAGAGAGGCCAGTGGAGGAACAAAATGGAGTTCATGCTGTCTGTGGCTGGGGAGATCATTGGCCTGGGTAATGTGTGGAGGTTCCCATACCTCTGCTACAAGAATGGTGGTGGTGAGTTCACAGCACACATTCAGTTGTTCTAGATCTGTAGGTATGACAAGAGACATGAACGTGCCTGGACCCATTTCTCCTATGCCTCGTGTGCCCTAAGCCACTCCCTTATTTGCTCCCTCAACAAGTTAGTTCCTGCCAAAAGCAGGAGGAATAAAAACTCAGGGGTGAATCCAGCTCTCCACTGGGTACACTTTCATAAAACAGCATTCTCAAATCTGGACCCCTAAAAAATTGAACCCTAGTAACAATGTAAGGCTCTTGGACATCTCAAGAAATTATGGCTCTTTGGAAAATATCAGATGCTGTGACTGGTCAGAAAGCCAACATCAATCTCCTCCTACATATTTCCCTTTTCCTACTCCTGGTGTCAAATCCTTCTTTTTCAGGCCGTTGTTACAGAGGAGGAAAGGCTTAGATAGTGCTGGTATCTTTTGCTGATATCCTAGCCAAGGCCTGATACGCCCTAGAAGAGACTTCTGCCTCTTCCCCTGGAGAAATTCTCACAGTGATCAAACCACTACTAGGAAAATCCGTCCCCACAAAAGGTTCATTCACCTTCCCTTTTGTTTCTTTGTGTGGTTCTCCTTTTCTCTTGCAGTAACACTGCAATAAGATCATTACATGGTTAAAAGTAAAAAATTCTCATAACAATAAAATTACACGGGGAATAATTGACTGTCACTAACTTTTCTAGGTGAATAAAAATTTAACTTTATAAAAGAAAAGGAGGAATAACAAATTACATGTCAAATGCAGCAGTAACTTCCCTTTTGTTCTTGTTCACTAAAAACACCTTGAAATAATGGTCTGGGACTTGCTTTGCTCCCTCTCATTTTGAGGTTCCTTTCTCTGCAGGCCTTTCTTTTCCAAGGTGCCATGAACTTTCACCAATAGCTGAGTGGTTCCACTGTAATTTTTCCCAGGGCTTCCAAATTCCTGTTCTCTGTGCTGTTGCTGGAGTTTATCCAAATTAGAGACAATAAAATACGTCCTCAAAACCAAAGAAGGGCGGGGTAAGAAATGATTAAAGAAAATGGAATTGAGTTTTTCTTGAGCCTGGGATGATTTTTAGCAGATCCTCCAGTCTCCCTCCAATATTTTGATGGGAGGCACCAAGAGGAAGTCAGATGGGCACAGGTTAGAAAACACTGGAGGTACATTTGATTGAACAGCCCATCGTCAGTGATGCTTTGAGACAGGAGTCATGGGCTTTGCATGAAAAATTTCTTCCTGAGCTCAGATGAAATCTTTGCATAGTTCGTGCCTGTGGTACCCGGTTCAGTAGTCCTTGCAATTTGTATGCTAATTAGTGTAAGGCTACTTTTATTCACTTCAAATATCTCTTGAATAACATTTTTCTTTTTAATTAAATTGCTCTGGAATATCTAAGACTGTGATTCAGAGGGGTAACCAGGCTAGGCTTGTGAAAGATTAGGATGGAAGAGTCCTTCCCTCACAGCTTCACACGTTGCCTTTGCAGAAAATATGCTACTGCTGTAGAAGGTACTTTTCTCTCTCCAGGGCTCTAGGGAACAAGAAGACAGGCAATAGGACAAGACAGTGTCTTTTCCCATGACACTCAAAATATTCTTACCATTGGAAAAGTTATTGAAATTGCAAAAAAGGTATTTTCCACCTATAAATGCTATACCTCTGTCCCACCCTTACCCCCGAACTTGACACTGCTGTCCTGTCACTTTTTTCCACCTTTGGATGTACTGAAATGGTTTTACAGCTATGAAGACAGATGCCATAAATAAAATAGTGCTAATTTTCTGTAAAGCAACCAACTGCAAACTTATCTATTGCTGCATTGTCAAATTTGATCTAATTATTCAGCATCCTGAGCTTATTATTGACTCATAAGGAAAGAGGGTCTGTTTGTGGGGGCCCCACTCCAGGTTGAGTCTCCTTCAGTGGAGCAGCAAATTGAGGAGGGGATCACAGCTGAAGTTTCAGCTGGTAACTGCTGGGGGACAGTTAAGAGAGATGGGACAATAGAGGTGCAAGAAAACCATTGCTGTTCAGAGACCAAAATGGGACAAATTGTATCAGAGGAGAGGGTCTGGAATCTGCTGAAAGGCTCATCTGTGTGCAGGATAGTAAAGCTGTCTTGCAGATTTGCCATAGATGTCTTGCAGCACCGAAAGCAGCAGCTGCCTCTAGTTCAGGGTCTGCAGTTCTCATTCCCTACCCTTCAAACCTGGACTGAACCCTGAGAACCAGCCTCCTTTCCTCTGGCCCCAGGTCTCCTGCAGCTACACACAGCTGTGTTTAGGGGAAATTTGGATGTTCTTTGTTATTGTAACATTTTTGTTGGCTTAAAAACAAGGGCAAGTGTTCCTAGTTGCTCATTGTCACTGAAAGGAATGTCAGTGTGGATGCCTGTGCTGGCAGGGGAGAAGAGGGCCTGGGGGACAGTGGCTGAGAAAGGCACCCTAATTCTGGGTGCAAGCAGCTGAAATGCTCTCCAGGCACTGGCAGGAGAGGTGTTTCTGACCAAATATTTATTGTATGGAGTGCCAAGACCGCCACAGTTGATCCAGCGAGGAAGGCAGTCACCTTATCTTATTTGGAGGGGAGCAGAAGTGTGAAAATCTACACTAAGGATGTGGAGAAAGAGAGTGAGGTGACAGAACGAAGGCCAGCTGTGAAAATGAGATCTCAGGAGCAGTTTTGAGCAGACTTGTGAGTGTATTTGATGTTTTGGTTTGGCAGCATAACTGAAAAGGTGCAAAAAAGTTTCAGACAGCCGAAACAGAGCACTAAACCATTTTTTCAGGGCATTAAATTTTTTTGTTATTATTATTTTTTTCTTTTCTTATGCTTAGTTTATATTGGTCATTGTTTTGGGGAAAAAGCCTTGCTCTTTCTTTCCTTCCTCTTCCATCTTGACAAGGGTTAATCTGAGGGCCATTTCAAGCTGATTTCTATTCAGACATTTCTCTACATTTTAGCAACAAATGGATTTTGAACATAGTCGTTAAACTTCTTCATTTTGGAAATGCTGGAAAGATATTCTTTCCCTATTTCCATTCTTCTGGTGCAATCTGCTTTCCAAATTTGACGTGAAATATGTCTCAAGTAAATTTATATCCTGGCAAATTTATTACTTACTAAGAAATGTCACCAGCCTCCAGGTTTGTATCCTCTGGGCAAGTGGGAGTTTTGCTGTGACTCTCATGAAAGGCAGAACAAATGTGGTTATGTGAAACAAGGGCTTATTTTGTTCACCCCATTCCTGCTGGAATGAGGTCAGGAACATGAAGCAGGGAGAACTTCTTCAGCACTATCTTTTTTTAGCTCCTTGCCTGGCTATTCCTTACCTCTAGGTTTTGGCCCACACCAAATGCAGAAGTAATGCAGTAGCACAAGACAGAGCACCCTTGTATTTTTTTTCTGAGAAATTATGGTGATGGAGATCTTGTTTCTTTAGCAGACATTGCACAGTTAGTTTAGAGAAATATTTATGTTTATGTAGCTGATTCCAGCTGTGGTCCAAGGTACCTGGCAAGAGGTTTAAAGGATAAGGTTTTTGAGGAGGTTTCTGAGGCATCATTTTACCCCTCTCTGCAGGAGCCTTCCTCATCCCTTACCTCATCTTCCTCTTCACCTGTGGGATCCCCCTGTTCTTCCTGGAGACGGCGCTGGGGCAGTACACGAGCCAGGGAGGGGTGACTGCCTGGAGAAAGATCTGTCCCATCTTTGAAGGTCAGTCAAGTTACAAGATTTACTGACAACACTTTCTAACAATTAGTGACTCACATAGTTTTTTTGATATATCATTATTCTTTTTTTTTTCTTTCTCCTTTATTCTCCCTCCCTTTCTCTCTCTCCCAGCCTTGTTATTCCTCCTGCTGCCTGCTGTGTGTGCAGAGGTGTTGGTGTTGCATCCTTCTTATCTGTGTGACCTGGGTCTTTGTTTGGGGTTAAGACTCATGTGTTGGGAGTTGGTTGTCAGTCCCATCCTCACCTCCTTTGCTTTTATTCACAGGAATTGGATATGCCTCCCAAATCATTGTGGGATATCTGAATATCTACTACATCATCATCCTGTCCTGGGCACTCTTCTACCTGTTCAGCTCCTTCACTTCAGTGCTACCATGGGCCAGCTGCAATAACCCCTGGAACTCAGGTACACCTTTCCTTGGCCAGCTTCTAGCTTCTTTCCAATTCTCAGAAATTATTTAGGTTTTATTGAAAATATTTTTTTTTTGTTTGGACAAGAAGCTCTCATGAGGCACCATGTGATGTCACCAAAAAATAGGCATTTTCTGGCAGCACAAGAGATGGATGGTAGTTGTCAAGCCAATCTAGAGCCCTCCTCATGTGGCAGGAGCTTTTTATTAGCTCTGGTTCCCTTACTCTACCCCATTCCTGAGGAGTTACTGGGGCAGTTGTTGCCAGTGCCTGAACAGTTTCCTCTGTGCACTCAGCTTTTGGGTAAACCAGGCCACGCCTGCACTGTAGGATCTTGCCACTTCAGGTCTCCCAATGAAGGAAGCAGTAACACAAAGCTCTAAGGGCACTGTTTTCCTGGTTAAGCACATCCATACAGCCTCCATACCATTATATTCACCAGGGGTCTCATCACTTCGTGCTCACAGTTCACTTAACTCTGCCCTACAGAGAAGACCTAGCTTTGGCTTTTCTCGAGGCACTTGGGCTGAGCCTGGGAAGATGGGGTAGATGTGAGGTAATCCTCATGAATATCCTTGTCAGGACTTTTTTAGCATGTTGAACAGGTTGTTTTGCTCGGCAGCAACTTGGTTCCCTCCCTTTTTCTCCTGCGTCAGATGGTTAATTTCTGCAATTAGTTAAATTTCTCTACCCTGCGGGCCTTTCACTCATAGCTCCCTCTGCCCTTTCATCCCAGCAGAAGTAACCAGCCTTTGAAAAGCTGATCCAATTCCTTCAGCTCTCCCAGAATGGATTTGTTTCTAAGGAAAGCTACATACATATGTTCTCTTAACATAGAGAAGCTTCCCAGCAACAGCTGGATTTCCTTGGTTTTCCTGTCTTTTGCTGGCAAAATGCAAGATGAGGTGCATTGGATGTGTGGCATCTCCTCTGTTTTTAGTTATTTCATGCTTTGTAACAGGGTTGGGGATGGCAAAGGAGAACATGAAGGCTTCTGTGGTGTGTGCATGCATGGACAGGGAATGATCTGGAAAGAGAATGGGGTTTTCTATCCTGACTACTTGTAGTCTCTATCCCTCGATAATCTATATTTTACAGCCATCTGTTTTCAATTTGGCAGGGACTTGTTCTCTCCTTCCCCTCTTCCCTTCCTGAAGCCCCTCTAGTAACTGCTGCATTGGGATTCATCCCTGGGGAAAGCCAGAGTTTAATGAGATACAAAAATTCACTGAGATGCTCTGCAGCACAAGATAAAGGATCTGTGTGCTGCCAGAGTGAGGGTTAGGGTCCAGAGGGGAAGGAACATCCCTCATGGAGGAGCCCTAGAGAATTTCTCACCTCATCAGCTTCCTTTTCTTTTGGTAGATCTCTGTGTGGACATTCTGAATAGATCCGGCCTGGACAACAGGACCTATCCTGCGAACACCACCTCCTCAATGATTGAGTTTTGGGAGTATGTGATTGCTTTCCCTCTGTTCAGGCTCTCTCTCATCCAAAGGCTCCAGCTGCAGGACTCCCTGGGCGGGGGGCTGTGTGTCTGCAGGAGCAAGTGAGGTGCCACGTGTCAGATCTGCACACGGGGAGCACAAGGAGCTGCCGAGGAGATGGGCACAGAGCCCAGGGTGTGAGGACTGGGCACACCCCAAAGGCAGCTCACAGTGTGCCTGCCCAGGGGTGCTCATGTGCACCTTGAGGGTGTGTTCCCTTTCTGGCACCGAGGTGCCTGGGTGAGTGTAGCCACTGAAAGAGGCACCAAAAGCAGGTGAGGGCTTGCTGCAAGCAGGGGTACATGTGCTGGGTGTTGCAGGTTGGCAAGAAAACATGAGAGGCCAGGGCAGACTGAGCAGTCCTCCACAGTGAAACACGGAGGGGAAAAACTGCCTTTCACCTTCTTTTGACCCAGTCCTGCTTGCTGTCTAAGGGAAGTGATCCATCAGGCTGCTCAGGATCATTCCTGGAGAGCAGGGATCTGAGATGCATGCATGAGATGCCAGAGAAGAATTTAAGGAAAGTGGAGAATTTTGACAAATTTGGAGCTGGAGACACTAAAATACAATCTGAGGGGTCTTGCAGCAGGCCAATGTCCCAGACAGGGTCATCAGTGCAGCCTGGAGAGGTTGAAATGACTGCTGGTGCCACCCAACCACTCCACATGCTACAGAGGAAAGTCTTATAGAGAAGAGGGATGTCAAGGATTCAGCTTCAGCTGAGTTTGGGGTTTTTTTCCCCATTTCTGTCTCCTGAAATACCTTTGAAAGGGTTGACTGTCCTTTGTCGGTTGCTGCCACCACAGGGCACATAGAAGATTATGTGTGCCTATGGTTGCAGAAAAAGTCTGCACAGTTCTGGCCCCCCTCTCCTGCCCTGCTCCTTGCACATACTATTTAGTGAGAGCTGAGACCCCTCTGAAACAGTTGTTTGGGTTTTCTGTAGATAGGGCAAGGGGACACTGAGGGAAATGGTTTTAAGCAGAATTTGCAGAGGAGTTGTAAGTGTGGGCTTGGGCTTCTGCGAAGTGCATGAGCTGCAATGCTGAGCTGTTGTGTGGCCTGCCTTCATGATGGTGAATCTCCAAGGAAGGAGGCTGAGGGAAGGGCATGGGAATCATAAAGATAATTTATGGTACATATAAGGTGTCTGTAGCATATGGGGAAGAAGAATGGTGGCCATGGGCTGCCAGTGGCTTTGGTGGCCTGCTTTGGATTGAGTTGTCTCTGCTTTGGAGCTGCCAGGCTCAGGGAGCAGTGGGGAGCAGATGTTGATTTTGTGTAGTGTGGGTCTGATGGGCATGGAGAGTGGGAGGGTTTGGGTCAGCTACAGGACATGGTGGAGCAGAGATGAGTAGAGAGGGGAGCTTTAAGCAGAGCTGGGCCAATTTGCATGGCTGGGAGCCCTGGGCAGATGTGTTGTAGATAGGCAGTTAAGTGTTTGGATGGGGTAATATGGGAAAGGTCTGTATGGGTGAGTGGGGTCTGGAGTGTTAATGCTTCTCTCCCTGTCCCTGGACACCGGCAGGAAGCGAGTCCTGGGGCTCACGGATGGTATTCACAGACTGGGCACTGTGCGCTGGGAGCTGGCTCTGTGTCTCCTGCTGGCGTGGATCATCTGCTACTTCTGCATCTGGAAAGGGGTCAAGTCCACAGGCAAAGTAGGAATGGAGATTATCTTCCAGTCCATAAGCCTCCTTGTACCCATCTTATATTTCTTCCCCAATCTTTTTTCCTTTTTCATGAAGTAGAGGCAGGAGAGACAGCACAAAAGTGAAACCTAAAACCTGTTGAGGCCATACTGATATACACTAGTTGTGTTTGAACTCTAAGAGGAAGAATAAATGAGTAGGTCCATCAGGGAGGGGAGAATGGGGAAAGAATTGGGAACTGAGGGGCGTTTTGAGTCACATTTTCACTTGCAGATACCCACAGTGACTGGTGGATTCTCTTCAAGTGCCCTTGGGAATCAGCCACTCACAGTGTGTTGTCCTGCTGTGGCTTGAGGGTGTTTTCAACAAGATCCTCTGCAGTGGCAGACTTCCCATCCCTGGCAATAATTAAACACTTGAGCAAAACAGACAAGCTGCTGCCTGTAACCAGCTCAGAGAATAGATAATGAATCTCTCTTGCTTTTTTATCCTGCAAACACTTGGGGTGGGAGAAGTGTCCTTGTTCTTTCTTTTGTGCTCTTTCTGAATCTGGAGGTTTTGAGTCAGTTGGTCACTTCCTGCATTTTGCTAATGAGGCTGGAGCCAATGCTTCCTCCTGATGTTTATCCTGTAGAGCAGATGGACTGGTTTTCCTTTTGGAGTGAATGAGTGATCGATGCCTTGGGCTGGGTGTTAGGGACACTGCCATGGCCTTGGCTTGCTCAGGACCTCTTTCATTCCTGGAGCTGCAATGAGATGGGTGGATCATTAATGATGACTGATGGTTAATGATTAGCCTTATGGTTATCCAGGGTATGTCCCAATAGCAAAGGGAGGGAACCAATTTCTGCAACAGATTTCTTCCTTCAAATCACCGTCTCGATTCTTCAGAAATGTTCTCTTTCATACTTGACACCTGTGTTTCAGTGTCAAATCCCATCTGCTAACTTAAAACTGCACTGGACACCCATTGCAACAGAATGAAATAACAGCTTGCTCCCTTGACTAGATTTTTCCCAGTTTTTGCTGGTGCTGACTTTTTGTCCACCATTTCTGAAGGAAGGAGGGGCAGACTCCACCTTTATGGGGAGAGGGGATGGATGGATGGATGATCTGCATTTTAAACCTTGAATCTCTGATGCCCCCTAATTTGAATACCACTGTGCCATCTTCACAAGAGAGATTGGGTGTGAGAGGCTGTGTGACCTGCATGGAAGAATAATTAAGTCACCTGAGGTTCTCTTTAGCTCTCAGCCTTCTCTACTGAGTTTCTCCTTTGCCTGGTGCTTCCTCAGTGTGCAAAATGTAACCTGCACAGGAAGAAAGCTAAAGTAGGCTGGTTTAGCTGAGTTGGTTTGGCAAAACCAGACCAGAAAGTGAGAGGAAACAGTGACTACATACAGTAAATGGAATGGTCTTCCTGAGACTATGGAAGATTTTTCCATCACAACTTTTAGGGTATAGGGCTATTGGCTATTTACTAGCCAGGTGTTATGGACACGGTGCAACAATAAGAAAGGGGTTTTCTGTCCTCAAATATACTACAAGTCAAACAGGCCAGTTGTCTTCTCTGCAGGCAGTAATTTTGAGCATTACAGGGGCATTGTCAAAAAATTCAACTGCTTCCCTCTTTTTCTGACAATATACTAATATACAAGTGTTAGGAAAGACCCAAGAATTCTGAGTAGGTGCATAATTTTGTTCAACAGCTCCAGCTTAAACAGGAGGTTGTGCTTGCCTGAGAGGCTGCTCTAATCACATAACTCTGCCAGATCCTTATGTTTCTGCTTCTGTGATTTAAGGGATCCAAACTTAAAGAAACCATAGTGACCTCAGGACAATAATTTCAAATAACTCCATAAAGACTCATTTTCTTTTAAAAGCCTTTTTCTTTTATTCATTTTGCTCCATGTTTCTCTTCCTTATGTATTCAGCTGTTGTGCATAAATGTTCCTTAAAAGTGATTTCTGAAGGTAGATTTTAATACTTGTGCCCAAAGGAGTGCCATTATCATTCAATCAGGGAACAGCAAAGTACCATGTACTGTGACTTATTTGACCAATTATCACTAAGCACAAAAAAATACCATTTCAGGCCCATCACTATGAATCCATGGAGTAAACAAGCCTCCACATTACTTAGATAAATTTTAGTAATGAATAAATTTTAGGAAGTTTCATCTTGCTCACAAATATTTTGCAAGTAGAAAAAAAGAATATGTTATGTTAGATAAATGGTTTAAAGACAATTAATTCTACTGTAATATTTATTTATATCACACACAAAAAGAAGTAAAAATAGGTACAAAAATAATGGTCTACATTTTCTTTAAAGGCTTTGAGTTGCCCCCATTTTTTAGCTGTGAGCTCAGAGGCATTGAAGGGATGGGAGTGACGCACGAGCACTTCTGGAAATGAGACCCCTCATAGGTGTCTCAAATTGGACATCAAAAGTTGATATTTCATTTGGAAAGCTCTTGCTGTGCATAGGACCATTTTAATAACTCATTAAAACTCAGTGACAGAAAGAGATCTGGGTTTCTTCTGCAGCTCTAGAAAGATGAAGGAAACAGCTGGAGAGCAGGGAAATTACTGACTCTAAAGAGAAAACAAAGCAGAGCAACCAGTGGCAAAGTCTTGGATGAAGAACAAAATGCAGATTAACTAAACCACCAGTGAGATGTAACCTTGATTCATTTCTTTCCCACCCCTCTTCTATGTTAGCAGCAGCAGCTACAGCCAACAGCAGAGTGAGGGAGGTTTGCTGGGGTGGGGGCCTGCAGATGAGATGAAGTGATGCTTGTCCCCTTCCCTGCTGACCCTCTCTCCTCTTGTTTCCCTGCCCCTGCAGGTCGTTTACTTCACTGCCACCTTCCCATATGTGATGCTCCTCATCCTGCTGGTTCGAGGGGTGATGCTGCCAGGGGCTGCTGAAGGGATCATCTTCTACCTGAAGCCAGACATCTCCAGGCTGGCAGACCCACAGGTGAGGGGTGGTGTCAAGGAAATGCTGGCCACAAGAATGTTCTCAATGCTCTGGCCTTTGGAGCTGAGCGTCTAGCTGTCATCTATGAAAAGAGGTCAGGGAACCAGGATGCTTAAAACTTCTGAGAGGGGTCTAGCCCCCCTACATAGTGCATTCTTTTTGCTCGTGGTCTGCAGCATGTGGGTATATTAGGTCATTTCCACTCATGGGCTCAGCAAAACCAGAAGAGTGTATAAAATATTTAGCATGTAACAGATAGTTTTTCTGGCTGTTAAATGCAGATAATTAAGGGACGGGTTATATAATCTATCACTTTTAATTTTTTTTCTGGCCTGGTTAGCATTTTGGCTCCATCAGGGCTCTCCCAGGACATGTGGGGTCCCTGTGCTTGCAGAGACCAAAGGCATGCATATAACGTGGGCTGTGACCAGCTGGGTTCCCTTCACTTGTCCTGGGGGCTGGTCCCACCTGCCTGGGGCAGGGGCTGGCCAAAGGGTCAATCCCTGCTGCCAGTCATTGGAGCTCGGGGAAACCCTCAGTGAGATCCTGCTGCTGAGATGAGGCAGAAGGCAGGGCTTTGCTTCATGTGGGATGTGTGTCTGAAGGGCTCCTGTGTACATGCCTATGTGTGAGAAATCAGTGTGAACTCAGGCAGCAGTGCCTGGGCTGGGATTTTTGAAGGCTACCAAATTCCAACTGCCTGGATGTTTGCACCTGGAGGCTGCTTAGGGGAAAAAGTGGGGAACCTGGAGACCATCAGAAAGGTGAGCTGTTTCCTTGCCTGCCTAAAACTCCCAGCTCAGGGCTTTCCCTGGGACTGTGTGAGAGCAGAGCTGCAGCTCAGCCCACAGTTCAGCTCTCCATGGAGGAGAGGGCTGGAGCAGTGATGAGAAACCCCACTCAGCTTTCCCCGTGGAATGCCAGAGCAAAGGGGAACCTGGGTGTGTGTCACCCCACTGGTCTGCAATCTCTCATCCCAGCAATATTCTGCCCTTCACTGCGCACTGTGGCCTCAGAGAGGTGGGAAACTAGATCTGGGAGCAGGGAAGGGAGTACACAGATTGTTGATCACACTCTCATTTGGGGTGACTCAACAGTGGCTCTGCAAGAAGATTAATCATCTGGGCCATCCATATAGGGACCACAGACATCTGTAGTGAAAGCTTCAGATGGAGCCATGCTATCAGGGATGTCACTCTACCCTAAATGCAAAGGTGTGGGGTGGAGAAATGGTGTCACCTTGAGTGGGATGTGAAAATATGGTCTCCTCTAGAGCATTTTCCTAAAGAGTTTCCAGTTCTATAGCTCAGTTTTCCCAGATAGTATCCCAGACTCTTCATTCACTGTAGATCCCCTTTCTGTCTCACAGGGTTTGTTCTCCATGACTGGAGGAGTTATTGTTGACAGGGCACAGCCATTTGTTTATTTTATTGCCAGGTCTGGAGACTGACCTTCTCTGTTCCAGGTCTGGATGGATGCAGGCACTCAAATCCTCTTCTCTTATGCCATCTGTGAGGGGTGCCTGACAGCTCTGGGCAGCTACAACAAATACACCAACAACTGTTACAGGTAGGAAGAGCCTGGTCTCCTCATTTCCTTGTGGAAATTTTCTCAGATATCACAGAGCTGCATCAGAGACAGGCTCTGTCCCTGGGGGAGACCTTGGGTCGTGCTGCTGTGACTAACAAGCTGCTCAGAGTGCAGAAGCTGCAGAGGACTCAGCACAGGGATGGAGAATGGCTGAGGAAAGAGAGGAGTCCAGAAAATGGCTTTAATAGTGCTCTCCTGCACGAGTCAGTGTGGAAATGAGAGACTGGAGGAGGGGGAGGAATGAAAATGGAGAGTGTCTCCAGCCACTGTGTAGACAGCACAGTCTATTTTGACAGAGTGAGTGGGCAGGGGTTACATGGCCAGCTCTGCCATCACTTGCTAGGCAGGGGAGGTGGTACAAAGATGATGCCTGGGCCCCCTGTCTCCAGTGCTTTACTACCATCAGAGTAATGTACTGCCAGTGGCCTTCTGATCCCATCAAGGAGATTAATCAAGTCTGTCTGGCCTTCTCCTTGCCCTTGGATTACAGATTCATTTTATCCATGACCTGACATGGAGCTCAGTGGAGTCATCATGACCATTTTTGACACCCTCTACAGAGCCCTGAGAAGCTGGGACTTTGCTATTCTTTCACATATTGCTCCAGCACAGATGGTAAAACGGAATTGTGCTTGGGAGACATCAATCACTGCTCCTTCTGTTCTCCTATAGGTGCTGCCATGGCTATTGGTTGAGCAGTTAATACTTTTTCCTGGCTCTCCCAAAACATTTCAGTCACTAAGGAAATGATGTGCTGACACCTTCCTCTAATTTCTTAGGTGTGGTGCTGGCAGCTTAGCTCTGGGTGTACCAGATGTGGGCACAGTGCCTGCCCCATAGCAGCTGATGCTGTGGGTCAACTCTGGCAGCTGCCCAGGCAAGATCCAGGGGTGTGGGGCTTCCAGCCCAGCCAGCTCAGAGTGCTACCCAATTTTCACAAGGACCAAGTGCACAGAAGTTTCAGGACAAGTAGCATAGCACATCCCAGCCTCCATCTGAGCATAGCTGATAAAGACAGAGTAAAGACTGCCCTTGTCATTGAGGATTTTTATTATCCTATTACCCTTGTTTTACTAGACCTGCTGAACCTGTGTGTCTTCTTGTTTCAGATACTACTCCTTCTTCAAGTTTCCTTTTGCAACCTCTTTTCTCGTTTTCTCTGTTGTTTTTTCCTATTCTCTGGACTCTTGTCATTTTTTTACTGCTATGTGCTGTGGTTGTGCCCCATTCCCCTGCTGTGCCATGTATAGTCCTATAAGTCTTGAACCCTTGGCTCTGCTCTGAGCTTTTTACTTCTGAGGGGTTCAAGAACTACATTGCTGTTTCTTGGTAGTGCTGTCTAGCTCGGGAAGCTGAGCACAAACATGATCCTAAGAGGATCCGTTCTGCAGCAGGAAATCCCCATTTCTCTCTGGTCTCCTTCCTGCAGGGACTGCATCATTCTCTGCTCCCTGAACAGTGCTACCAGCTTTGTTGCTGGCTTTGCCATTTTCTCTGTGCTGGGCTTCATGGCTCGAGAGCAGGGTGTACCTATTTCAGAAGTGGCCGAATCAGGTACGTTTTTCTGGGAGACTTCAGAACCAAGGGAAAACATTCAGGAACAGCCTGAAGGGGAGGGCACTCTTCTGAGGTGAAACCCAGAATATTCTTTACATCCTCTATTACTATGGGTGTCTGCAGGACCAGTACTCCTCAACACAGCTTTCAGCTGAGGGTGGGCAAGGAGCTGTGGCAATAGGAGCTTTGAAGAAGTATGTGAACTTACTCTGTGCTGCAGGTGGTGGTGTGAGGGACACACGTGGTCATCCTGTGGTCTGTTGGCAGGTCCTGGCCTGGCTTTCATAGCATATCCAACAGCAGTAACAATGATGCCTGTGTCTCAGCTCTGGTCCTGCCTCTTCTTCCTCATGCTGATCTTCTTGGGACTTGACAGCCAGGTACAACAAACCCCCCTGCTCATCTAACAGGCAGGTGCCTGTCCCCACCCTGAGCATTCCTCACAGTCATTGGAAAGGATAAGGTGGGTCTGTGCTTTGCTGGTACCTTAAATATGTTCTCTACATTGTATGCAGCACTTTCACACTGTGGAAGCTCAGAGCTGGGGCCAATGGCAGGCCAATGGTTATGTGAGCTGGCATCTCTGCTGGCACCTTCTCCCTGTGTGTGTGAGGATGACCCAGCTACATCCCCCCAAAACTGTGCAGCCTGCAGAGTGAGACCCAGCACAGAACAGGGCAATCTGGGATGGGGAATTGATTTTCTCCCAGCTGCATCCCACCAGAACAATCCCTGTGTCCTCTTCTCACAGGTGTGCCCATGTTTTACATCCCATGCCCCTGTTATGCCAGGAACAAACCCTGTGGAATTCAGTGTGCAACTCTGCTGCTGGCACAAGGGGAGCAGAGGTGTCCTGCATGTCCACTGGGCAGGTGTTTTGCTCTGTTACACCTCAGCCCCTGTGCCTGGATAATCAGGTCTTTTTCCTCTGTTTCTGCTGGCCTTTGGTGGAAGCAAGACAGATGAAAAGAAAAAATGAAAAAATAAGGATTTGAGTGGTGGGAGGACTAAAAGGACAGTGAGAGGAAGTGCGTGCTTGGGAAGGGAGAGACGCTGATTTCTCTGACCTGTTTTCTTCTGCAGTTTGTCTGTGTGGAAAGCATGGTGACAGCTATTATTGACATGTTCCCAGGAGTGTTTCGGAAGAAGGGACGTCGGGAGCTGCTGATCCTGGCCATTGCAGTCATAGGCTACCTGCTGGGCTTATTGCTGGTCACTGAGGTGAGTAAGGAGTAGCTGGGTTGTACAGCTGAGCACCAAACCCCTGCTACACAGCTCTGGAGGTCTGGGCAGAGGCAGCAAGCTTGTCTTCAATGCTGTTAATTGTGTCTCATTTCTAATGCATTAGCTGGTGTCTCTCACAGCCAGTGCTGCTTTGGCTCCGTGTGACACTGGTCCACTCACTGCATCACTGAGCCTTCCAGAGATCCTGGTCCCACAGCCCAGAGAGGCTGCCTGACACATGGTTTTGTGCAAATACCAGACCTGGGAACTAAAACAAGACGAGCAGTTTGAAAACAAGCTCCTCTAAGGGCAGCGGTCATTTGCTGGCTGCTTTCCACACAAAGCAGAGCAGCAGGAGAGGAGCCTGGGGTGTAATGGCTGTGCCATAACCCTGCTGGAGCCCATGGGAAGTCTGTGATCCCGAGACTAGGAGGAGCAGAGCTGTGCTGGTGTGATGCCATGCACACAGTGTTTGCACTTCTCTGCAACTAAAAGCTGCACCTCTTCCTGCATGGTGATTTTGGGAACTCCCTAACAGTTTTAAAACAACCAAACAAACCAGCTCCTGCTCTTATGCACATAGAAGCCAGCCTAGGCCAACAGTATCATAAAATGGGCATGAAAAACTCTCCTGCCACCAGGCTTGATGTGTTTTTGGAACAGAGTGAGGGCAGCCCCAAGAGAAGGCTCTTCTCCCACCTGCTCTAGGTTCAATGTTTCTGCTGCTGTTCTTCTGCTTACCCCATTCATTTTTCCCTGACATGGAACAGTCTTGCCATGGCTCTGTTTTCTCTACCTCTTCAACAGGGTGGCATGTACATCTTCCAGCTCTTTGACTACTATGCTGCCAGTGGCACATGCCTGCTCTTCCTGGCTATTTTTGAAGTCATCTGTATAGGATGGGTGTATGGTAAGTGGAGGACAAAAATCTGTCTTGTCCTTTATCAAGGCAAGAATGGGGGGTTGAGAAGTGAGAGTGGATAGAAAAGATCCTCAGGGGGCGAAGAAGTGCTGCAATTATGTTCTTTCTTGTCTAGTTTTCACTGTGTTTCCTTGCAACATTTCTTAATTGCTCCACATTTAGACTAGGAATGTTTTTTCCTTCTCTGTAGGTGCCTCATATTGAATTACCTTGCTGTTCTTCCCATCTGCCCTTTGAATTAGAAAATCAGATATAGAGGAGTGACTGCTGTTCTTTGGTGCCTGTCCCTGTCTGCTTACATTGTGCATTTAGTTTAGTCCTGCCAGTTAATTTAACACAAAATTCTGGGATGCAAACTTGGTATGTGTTACTTCTGCGAGGATTCCTGCTTCTTATTTGCCCAGGCTGTGATGGCACTCAGAAAAGAAATAGGAGGGAACTGCCTTGGCTCTCAGTGAAGTCTGTAACTAAACCACTCAGGAGCAGGATAAAACTGAGTTTCATGAACTATCAGGAGGAAAACAACTGCCTGTTAGTCTGTGCAGTAAGAAGAGTCTCCTCTGATCTCCTATGGGAGATCTCTTCCTGACAATGGTTTTGGTTCTTCTCGTTGAAGTTTGTGTCAAGGCTGATGGGTTTTGGGCAAAGCATCCTGTGTGTGATGCAGAGCAGCTGCTCCCTCTCGTTTCTTTGTGGAACTACACGAGCCTTATACCTGTAAGGATTGTGCACAGCTGTAGTAGATGCCAGCTTAGACCAGACCTCAACATCCCACAGTCACACATCTGCTGGTCCCAACTACTTCAAGCAACACTGCCATCATAACCTCAGGGAAAGATTGCAAACATAGCATCATGTTGGGTCTCAATGGTCAGAAGTGGATTCTCATGAAGGAATGCAATAGAAGAAAAATGAGGAGTGATACTTTCTGTGAATGTTCGTCCAGGTTTTCAAAACTTATAACTGAACCATAGAATGGTTTGGTTTGGAAGAAACCTTTAAAGGTCATCTAGTCCACCCTCTTGGCCATTTCCCAATTGACCAAATTGCTCAAAGCCCTGTCCAACCTGGCCTTGAACATTTGCAATGGTAGTGCACTCACAGCCTCTCTGGGCAACAGGTTCCAGCTTCTCAGGATCTTCAGAGTCAAAATTTCTTCCTTGTATCCACTCTAAACCTCTCTTCTTTCAGTTTACAGCTGCTAGCCCTTGTCATGTCACTATAAGCCCCCTTTGTGTATTGAAAGGTTGGAACAAGGTCTCCCTGGAGCGTTCATTTTTCCAGACTGGACTGCCCAAACTCTCTTAGTCTCTCTTCACAGGACAGGTGCTTCAGCCCTCTCTTAGTTCTCATGGTCCTTCTCTGGACTCACAGCTCCATGTCTTTCTTGTTCTGGGAGTCCTAGAACCAGATGCAATGCTCACCTTGTTGCCCAGGAATTTCCAATGCCAGAAGTGAAATCTATTTCTCTTCTGTTATTTTTTTTCCAGTTGACTTGGCTAAGCATTTGTCATCCACAAAATGCTGCAGCAAGGGGTTCCATGGCTTTCTCAGATGTTGTGAGGAGTCAGTCTCTTTTCCTTGTTTGAATCTGCCATCTGCCAATTCTATTTGTTGCCACCTTTGCCCTGTTATGGGCAGTCAGTCCCTATGTGCTCCTTTTGGTGCTTTGGTTTTATAGATGTTGCATTGGCTGTTGTGCAGTTGCTGATCAAGGGCTCACCAGTTTCTCCAAATGCTTTATGTATAGCAGGAGCCAACTGCTACTTTGGATAAACTCCTCTCTTAGTGGAAGGGTAACCAATCCAGCTGCTTGGTCTTGGGCTCCAGGGAATGCAAGAGTAGATCTGTAAGAGAGACTTATTTTAGAAAGATGTCCTTCAAGGGAAGCTTACCTGACATCTTGCAGCAACAGGCCCTGGCCAGATTTTAATTTTTCACCTTCTGCCCAGTCCTTTTGGGATTTAAAGGGACATGGAGATCCCCATCCATCTGTGACAACACGGGGATCACCATTCTAGGTTGATTTATTAAACTGAATTATGCTTTGATGTTTAATGCCATTTTTACAGTCACACAGGCAACATACCTTTTCTGATGACCCATGGAGAGAAGCAATGGCAGGCAGTGAGTAACAGGAGAGGTGATGCTGCCCCAGCAGCGTCAAAGGGAGATGGAATAGTTGGGGACAGAGAAATGGCCCTTTTCCTCACCACCATGGGTTCATTTGTGGCACTCCACACGGCGTGCCTCTTGATATTCTGCTTTGCATCCATTAGGATGATTCTGGTCCAAAATAGTCAGAGGTAGTCAGAGGACCAAGGTGAGGTGTTACAGTGGGGAAAAAAAGTGACTAGTGCTGATTAAAGGGGTTTCTTTCCCCAATCCTGGAATTGGCAGGGCTGAGACTCTTGCTTACACTGTGAAGAATTACAACATTTCTGCTAACACAAATATGTGTTCTGAGTTTCCCCTCTCCCAGCACATATGCCAACCACCCACCACTTGGCAGCTTCCCCCTGCTGCCAGGCAGCTGCTCTCCCAAAGACCTGAGGATTTCCTTCCTACTGCTCCCTGCCTCTGGAAGGATTGCACAGCATTGGATTTGCATCATGTTCCCTAGAGGAGAGTGCTGGAGGGATTCTGGTGTCCCTCCACCTCTTCTCTACTCTCCTTTCCACTTTAGGACAGGCAGCCCTTCTAGAAGCAGGCATGGGGTTTGAACACTGAGATTCACAACGTGGTGCCACCGAAATGGGCTGCAGAGGATATTTTCCAGGCAGTCACAGCATGCACATTATGATTAGCTGTTCCAGGAGAAAGCAAGGGCCTCCATTACTACAGGAGAGCCAGGGCTGAAATCATTAGGATTCTACACAGCTAGAGCAAACTGATGCCAGAGGGTACCCGTGGGTGGCCCTGGGGTAAACCCATGTTGTGCAGTGATAAATCTTTCTCTGGTTCTGTTGCTCATATGCAGCGTGGCATGGCAGCCTCCTCCTGCCTGGATCCTGCCTGTTGGGTTTGCTCTGGCTCTGTGTGCTGAATGCTCTCAGGTTCACTGGCTGTGATCAACCTTACATTCTTCTTCGTGGGCCATACAGGGCCTGCTCTGTGTGCCTGGTACCCAGAGGATGTGCAGCTGTGGTGCCACCATGCCTCTGTTGTTGGCTTTTGCACAGCAAAGTGCAGGTGTTGGTGCTACAGGTTTGAGACAGAGAGGGAGCAGATACAAGCTTGGTATGGAGCCACAGTCATCACCTATTGCAATGTTATGGGTGAAATTTGATATAGATGAATGCAAATAAATGTAACTTGGGAGAAAAGACAGAGATTTTTTTTAATGGATTCCAAGCTAGCAGAATTGTGAAACTCGCTGGTTTTTGAATATGGTGAAAGTAAAATTTAATCTTTGTCCCTTTTAATTTGGGTCTTGTTTACTGTTTTTATAAGCTGTGTAAAATGAGAAGGGCTCTGTAAGGACAAGAGATAAGGATGTAAACAAATCTCTAGTTAGGTTCATGTGAAATTTATTCCTGGGAATTTACATGGCTAAATGATTTGTCAGAGGAGCATGCAACCATTTTGATGAGCACAGGGAAGTGGTAGCAGCATTCGTAGTTAACTGTCCAGTGACTGCATCCCATTCTTCCTTGTTTTGGAATATTGGAGATAAAAGCAAACATCTTTGTTTACTCCAACAAAAATCTATTTGGGAAAATTTTATGGTTTTCTCTGCAGGAGCTTTATCTAATCCTTCTGATGTGCTGGGAAGGAAGGGGACATTGCTCCAGTATTTGTTCTCCAGCTTCTAACTTGCTCAAAAAGCCAGTGTTGAGTGGTTAAACTGATGACTTCTTAAGCTTGATTACTTTTTCATCTGTCTGTGAAATGTAGAATATGTAAAACCTGCTGTTCCTATACTCTCTGAGGATGTTCTTGTCAGTCCCCCTTGTGTATCATCACATCACTCACTGACTGCCACGGTGGCCATGGAAATTTAGGACCTGGTGGATGTCCTGCAGAGAAAAGGGACAAGGACAGGTGGAGGCACATCATAATTAACAGCATAAGTTGTGGGGTTTTTTTTCTTCTTGGAGGATGGATGTGTGTGTGTTCTTATTTTTGTTTGGCATTTTTGTATTTCTTTAATTGATATGTCCCTTTGACTAGATCCTGGATCCAAATTGGCAGGGAAACTTTATCAGCCATGAAGTTATATTATGAAATAATTTATCTGTCATATATCTGATATGACAGTGTGTTTCTGTGGAAGACACTGCTGTGTTCATATTCTAAACTGCAATTCACATGATCTATATGTCTCTTTTTTTCACCCTGTGGAAAATCTTGGCTTTTTGGCAAAATTAATTTTGTATACCATCTCCTTTCATCCCCAATATATTTTCAGAAACACTATCTGAGTCCTCATGATATTTACAGCTTGGAAGTTCTCTGGTGTAGGCTGGGCTCCCACACAAGGCTGCATGTCCCTTGATATACCACAGCTGCTTGTCTTTGCTTGAGGCTACTTGTTCACTTGCCAACTCAACACCAAGAGGTGTTCAAAGAACTATCCTCCCCCTTCCCCCCTCCCCCAAATACTTCAAAAAGCTGGGTTTAAAAAAGATTTTCTGCAAGCATTAGTCATGGGCTATAGAAAATAATGCAAAGAATTACAAAAAAAACCCAAAACCATGCATAATGTGCTTTTGCAGAATTACTATGTTTAAGGGAAATGTATTATGAGAATTTAATTCTGACACATAAAAATCACAAAGCAAAATGAAACTCACCAAACCTCAAGCACTCACAAGTGTGGCCAGTTCTCTAGGTACATATCTTGCCTACTCCAGACTTGTGGTGCTGAGATATAAAGAAGCAAAACCTTATCACTTTTGCAACTGGGAACTGTGGCCTGCCCATGAGTTCACAGATGGATGAACATCCCCAAAAGCAGAATCCTTCTTTATCAGCTAAGCACCAAGATAAAGCTTTAATAAGACAAATATGGTATTATTTCATCCCAGAGTTGCTTAACTGGTAACCCTTTTTCTGGATAGACTAAGTCAAGTTTTTTGTCTAATCCTGTTGTCTTATTTTGCCTGAGGCAGTCTGGTAAATCTGGTTAGAAAGATCCTAGGGCACCTTATAAATTACTTTTTGATTTTTCTTCATTTTAAATCTCTTTCTGGCCAACATTATGCTCCTGATACTTGAAGACATCCCAGAGTTTATTGCAAGGTCTGCTGAAATCCGTCTGCACTTTGTTGTCTCCTCTATGCCATTGCATAAGTTTGTGCTTTGGGTTGGGAAGAGTCAATGGTTAGAGTCTCACTGGTGGCAGGACTTTTAGGTACTTTTCTGAAATATATCCCATTCCAGGGCACCATGAAATTTAGGTGGGTCTCCCACACTGTTAACAAAACAATCCAGTAAGTGAAACTAATGAGAAGAGAAGGAGGGGATCAGACCCCACCAGACAGCTCAGTGGACAGTACAGCAGCACTTGCAGATGGAAGGTTTGGCTTTCAGAGGAGATTTAATTGCCAGGTTTTCTGAGTTTATGTCAATAATAAAATATTCTGTGGAAGACAGGCTCTTGAGATGACGGGGTCCTGTCCAATTCAGTGGTGATTCTTGACATGACTTCCCTGGTATACCAGCATGTTTATTTACAAAGAGAAGGTTTTGTTAGGTGCTCCCCACTCTCTTTGTTCCTTTTAGCACTCTGGACTCACACAATATGCTTAGCCTGCAAGAGCTTTCCCTTGCTGCTGTGTAAACCAGGCACCTCTCTTCATCTTTCAGGGTTAAAATTAAACCCTCCATCTCTATTTAGCCACAGATGGGCCTTTTCAATGCCAGAAAACCCTATCATCTGCTGCTCTAATATTAGGCTAGCCATGTTTTCACCAGAAGTAAACACCAAGGATAAAGAAAGTTTGGGATCTGATGTAAATAGTCCTTGAAGGAAACAAAAACAATCTGACCTCTGACTTTGTCTCTGTGCTGGTTGGTGACCAAGGTGCCAATCGCTTCTATGACAACATTGAGGACATGATTGGTTTCCGGCCGTGGCCCTTGATCAAGATCTGCTGGCTGGTGTTCACCCCGGGTCTGTGCTTGGTAAGTGCAATTATAACATCATGACCTGTCACTCTGAGTCCCCAAATTCTCAGTAGAAAAGGCTGATTTGTCTCCAAGGTGCTGCTGTAAATTTTTCAAACTGCTATGGAGAAGCAGAAGCTTGTCCGTAGCTGAGGTAGCTATTTATTTCCTTTGTAAAGCCTTGTGTTTTGCCTGGAAAATTGATTGAGCCTGAAAAGCCAACTGTTTATTGAGAAGGCAAAAGGAAGTGTATCCTCAAAGCCTGGAGAAGTTTGGTCAAATTACCTATAAATAGAAGACCAGTGAAAATTACCCTGTTCTGAAATACTTGCTTCAGTCTCTGTTCCTAGGACTTCCCAAGGTTCAGAAATATCTATAGCCATTTGCTTTCTATGTTATTAAATCTCTTCCAAAACTTCTGTAACTGTGTTTAAATAAAATGCACCCAAATTCAGGCAAGTTTTTGCCTGTTTTGAATTTATGTCCAGTCTTGCTCCACTGACTTTGACATTTTTTCTTAGCCAAATTCTGTTCTTGTATCTGATGTGGAGGGTTGTTTTCTTTGACCTCAGTGGGAATACAGATGATATCTATAGCTACAGCTTACAAAAGATTCCTAGTCCTTTGTCCCCAGGCTTCAGCAGGACTTGAAGATCTGAGAAATTTTCGAACCAGACCAAATTGTCTGAAAGCTTTGTAGCTAGAGAGCCCCAGGAGGGCAAAATCTGTGCCTGTGTGGCTCTTCTGGAGTGTTTCTGCCAGGCAAAACAACAACTCTTGTCTTTGATATGAATAAATTGCTGTCTCAATGTTGCTGGACCCTCAAAGCTGCTGCCAACTTTGCTTATGTTGAACTCTTCAGAAGCCTGAAGGCTTTACACTGCAGAAATGCCTGGCTGAGAACTCCTTGTGCAGCCAGCACACACCAGGCTCTGCTCACTGCAGCCAGCAAGGTCCCTGATGGCTCATGCAAGACAGAACACTCTGGCACCTTGCAGAGCAGCCAGTCCTTGCAGGCTGGCCAGGCTGCTGGGCTTGGCTGCCCCTTGGCTCTCCTTATGTTTGTGTTTTGTGTTCCCCAGGGCGTCTTCCTGTTTTCCCTGATCAAGTACACACCCTTGAAATACAACAATTCCTACGAGTACCCACCCTGGGGCTACATGCTAGGCTGGCTGATGGCACTCTCCTCCATGGTCTGTATTCCTCTATATGCCATCTTCATCCTCCTGAAAACCAAAGGACCCCTGAAACAGGTACTGGGATTGTGGTCACTGGTTGTGTTGCTGTTGCTCCTCCACGTGGTTCAGAATGGACCCCAGGGAGGATGGACATGGTACATTTCTCCTCTGAGAAGGCAAGGGCTGGTGAGAGTCGCCCTTCCCCAGAATGTTCTGTAGCTTTTGTGGGCAATTTGGAGAGCTTGGAGGGTCTCAGCACAGCTCCCAGGCTGATCATCAAATGTCCAGTCTTCCTTGCAGTGTTGCACCATCCTGCTTGATGCAATATATTGATGTATGTACAGCACAGATATGCTATAGATACCAATGCAAACCAAGTGCAAAACTGGGATCTGTTTTTTGCCTTTACTTCTTGTCCCTTGTAGTCCTGGGTCAGGACCATGTTATTTTCAAAAAAAGAAATTACCCATAGTTATTAGAGAGGACCTGCTCACAGAGCTGTAAAAGTTTACCCTGTGCCATGCCTGAGCCTGTCCTCTTCACTGTAGACATATTTGTCATTGGAAAAGCTCTATCTAGGGAGATGTTATCATGGAAGTGACACCTCACCCAGCCTGTGAAGAAGGATCTGAGTGATGTACAGTACATCCACATTACTACACAATTTCTCTTCCAGTCCTTCCCCATCCTCACTGCAGCTGTTTGGAGGTGGAGTGGGCAGAGGGAGCAGGTGAACAGGGGATGGGAGCATCCCTGTGGCTGTGGTGTAGATGTGACACTCCCATTGTAGGATCGTGGAGAGGAGGACCCTGCATTGCCCACACATCCAGGGATGAGCTGGGTACAGGAAGTCTTTATTTGTTCCATTGTCCCAGGGAAGGTGAATCTGTGGCTGACATGTCTGAGTCCCCACAGCTCAGAAGCTTTGGTGTCTAAATGGGGGCTTGGAGCTGTCAGAGAAGTAATTGCCCACATGTCCTGCCTGTTAAACAAACAATATCTCTCACCAGGGGTAAACTGCTTCAAGCCCTTGGGCTGAAATGCTGCAGGGAATAGTGTTAATGCTCATTGTAGAGCACACCTGAGGATCGAGGGGTTTTCTGTTTGTCCTGGTTTACATGATATTAATTGAAATTTCCAGGGACTCCTCAGCTACATTAGTATGAAGAAATTTCCCAAGATGCCGTTTAGGTGTGTGGGAAAGAATTGGCTGCTAAATTCAGGGCAGAATCAAAGCCAGCCATGAAATACCTTCTAAGATAGTTGCACTTGTTTTTAAAACAAAATTTCTCAAAATATACTTTTTTTCCAGTCACACTCCAGAATTGTAGTGAATTAATTTCCAGACACAGATGTTTCCAGGAACAGTCTTTGAATATTGCAAACCATTCACTGAAAGCAAGTTTGTAATTGGTGATTATGATCAGTCACTGCTACAAACTGTTTCCTCTCGTTACACTTGACTGACCAAGAAACACAAATGTTTCCTAATATCCCTGATGAAGACAGCTCAAGCTCCAAAGACTAAAAACTCACAGTGAAGTACCCACAGAGCAGCTGCAGACCAAGGCCAATTTTGGAAAACAGGGTGCAAATAGTTTTGAATAAATGAACGAAGTCTGTGATTTTGGCAGGCACTTCACAAGGAGTGGGAGCGCTAAAATAAATCCAAATCGTGGATGAATTGCCTGCTCTGCTTGTGATGCACTCTGCATAGGAGTGAGCATGCACTGTCCTGAACAGTTGTGATGGAAAAAGTTAGTAACGGTGAAAGTCAGGTTTCAGCTGGGAAATGATAGGCTATCCCATGGAGGACAGGTAGCAGGACATCAGCTGCAGGAAAGGGGGAGGAAACCAGGAGCTCAGAAGGTCATGTGGCACCAGAGAGGCTTAAAAGTGGGATTTAAAAAGACCAGAAATTCACTGCAGAGTCCCTGTGAGCCAGCACTTTTTAGTGAAGAGCTCAAAGATATTTTTATTTAAGAATGAACTCCCCGAAGTTGTCCCAACACTGCATACGTGTGTGGGACAGCCTGTAGCACCCTGCATTGCAGAGGACAGAAGGAGCTAAGGGCAGGCAGCTGCCTCACAAGCCCTGCCTTCACCATCACAGTCTGGCTGACTGCAAGAGGGCAGCTGAGGATGGTTTGGGGCAGGAGCCAGTCTGCAGAGGGACTGCTTTACCTGGGAAATGCCACTGAGGTAGGTATTGCCTACCACCCTCTTTTGGATCATAGCAGGTGCCCAGCAGCTGATGATCAGCCCATTTGAAAGTCTTCACAGCTCCCACCAAAATCAATGGAAAGCTGCTTGGTATAGGAAAAGAAACAGTTTTATGTTGTTTTTTTCCATTGCCGTGGAAAACGTGTGTGGTGCTATTTGCTGGCATCCTCCCTCACAGTAGCAGGTCTGTGAGAAGTGCTGTACATCAGATTATCAGTGCACAGCCCAGACTTGAGCTCAGAGGCAGAATAATTGTCACTGAGAGCAGCTGCAGTGAACCTGCTCTCCTTCTCTATTTCACAGCCGTTTGGGAGGAGAGGAAGAGGGAGCTGGGACTTTGGCTCTCTAGATGCCTTTGCCCCCAGCAATGATTGTGGGTCACTATTGGCTGTCAGTTTGTTCATCAGGTTAATTAACAGTGACTTCCTCCCCGCAGCGGCTGATGCAGCTGATTGCCCCGGCGGAGGATCTGCCGCAGCCGAAGAGGAAACACGGGGCAAAGCCGTCCGATCTGAGGCGTGAGGGATGGACTCCTCCAGTCCAGGAGATGCTCAGCATCACAGAGAGAGAAACTCACTTCTAAGGCACCTGGGATGTTTCCTTCAAACCCAGACTGACTTGCTCTCTCCTTCCCAGAGTGGTTTCTTTTCCCTTCTCTCCTTCACGTCTGTGACGGAAGCATCTGGGACAATTCCTCTCCTTCCAGCCGGCTGGTTGCACCCACTAGAAACAGCATTTCTTTTACACCCTGGGGACAACTCTTTCTGCCAGCAGCTGTGGAGGCTGCAGTATGCTTTTGTCAGAAGTGCTCTTCAGTACTGACACCGGTTGGGAAGAGTAAAACAACACTGTAGAAAAAAAAGGAGAAAAAAAAGTGCATTCATGTTGGGAGGAGGAAAAGAAACCACAGTGGCGAGGGTGGTGAGAGAGAGCAGAGATTAAAGATGTGAAGGAGCCAAGTTAGGAATGCAAAAGCATGGAACGATGGGGCATTATCCCAGGAAATAAGTAAGCTGGTTCAGAGGTACATAAGAAGCTGGAGGATGACAAAGGAAAGTGCATTACTAGGTCACCTCTGTACAAGGGAGAGAGAGGCAGGAACATATCATAGCCAATGACAAAAGGAGGCTGCAGTGTCCGTGGTTACAGCTTCAGCTGTCACTGGAAGGGAAAGGAATGACAAGGTGCTCGATGCAATCCTAGTTGTTGATGATTGATCTCAAGGCAGTATCAGTCTGGAAAAGGGGGTGAAGAATGGCTATCTAGGGGACTTGCTCTTGGTCAAAACTACATGGCCCAGTGAAAACACATCCAAGAGTGAAACAGATGAATATTTGACAATTTTTTCGGAAAATTCATAGGGTGCAAAAAAAGTCCCAGAGCAGTTGGTAAGAAAAAGAACTGCAGCGCAGCTGGGAAAATGAGACCCTGAGGACTGCACGCCCACAAATTTAACTGCAATGCTGGGGCATTTTGTAGAGGAATTATTGAAGGAGTTGATGGGCCTGATCCTGCTCTGCAGAGTAGCTTTGGGAAGAGGGTGGGAGAATGATTGCACTCCCTTGGCTTTGCTGTGGATGACTGCTCAGGGGATAAGGAAGACATAATCAGGCACAATAATCATCAGTTCAGGCAAGAAAAAGCAAAATTAATAGGTAATATAGGTCCATTGGAAGCAGATTGTGTCGAATTAGAGGTTAGTTGTTGCCTGGGTACTCAAAAATGCGAGGCAATGGGTGGGAGGAAATGTGCTCTGATGGCGGGTTTGGTGCAGTGCCAGATGTCTCTGTCCTGTGGAGGCTGGGGCTGTAAAGCTCCTGCCAAATGCTGCTTCAATGCCTATCAAAAATTCACAGCTAAACCCATCAGAAAAGCCAGTGGCAGGACTCAGCCGGGCGCTGTGCTGTGGCCGAGGGTACATGCGCTGGTGCATGGCTGTGCTGCAATATTGGTGCATCCAACCACGCCAGGGGATGGCCTTCAAAATGAATCACAGATGCCACAGGCTCCTTTCCTTGTTCCAAGTAATTGCTTTTCCCTGTGCTGTGTGGAGATAAACGACCAGCACTGAAAGTAAGCATGGAAATCAGGACTCATCTGTGCAGCTCGCTACCTATTCCAATTGCTATGGGAACCTTATCTGCTGCAGTTTGCTCTCAGTTTAACTGGAGAATTAGCATAGGGCAATCTTTTCTCCGTTTAATTTCCTTTCCTTTAAAAACTAAAAACTACAAACTGCTGGTAAAATGAACGCTGAAAGTCAAATATCAGAATTTGTAACTCTTTGGGACATTATCATTTGAGATGTTTTACTGTGGAAGATGGAGAAAGCTGGGAAACCTCATTCACATTCCCTGCAAAGGATTGCAGCACCACATAAGACACCATTTATTGTATTTTTTTTTTTGAAGAGCTGAATGTCATCCTGCAAATAGCTGTGGGAAGAGCTTAGCACCCAGAGGTTTGCAGTCAGGCCTCAGGGGAAGCAGTTTGGTGATTTTTCCTCTCCCTCCCACCAAATTATGTTGCTCATAATTTGATGGGGGAAGCAGCCCTGCCAATCTTGATTCTTGTACAAGCCTTAGTAGGACATTTAGCCCCTCTGCTCCTGCTGCCATGCCTTTAAGATGTGAGGTAGTGTTGTGCTGTCAGAGAAGTCATGCAGATGTGTTCACTAGTTTTTCTGAGGCAGTTGAGTGACACTGCAAAAATCCTAGATAGAAACAAATACCTCTTCAGTTTGGAACACAAATATGGTGCTGTGTTATTGACTGCATGAACTCGTTCTTCCTACTTATACATAATCCAATATCCAATAGCATCCCTACTCTGCCAAGAAGCAACTTCTTTTTATAAAGCTAGAGGAGGTATTGCTGTGCCCATTGAAAGCAATCATAAAATTTCCAGCATCAGAAAATTAATCCAGATGGAACTGACAAAGTTTCAGGAATTTTAAGTCAAAGCTCAGTGGCCTAGTGTAATTTAATTCCCTTTCCTTTAAAAACTAAAACACCACATACACCCAGCTGGGGGGAGAGGGGGGAATGCCATCAGGGGCTGTCTTTTGCTGTGCAACCCTCAGCACAATTAGAGACTGAGTAGTGGTTTGTTAAATTTATACAAATGTCTCAGGCATTGCTGCATGCATGTGACAGATCTGACAGGTCTCCATCAACCCCTGGAACTGGGCACCTCTGGAGACCTCTGAGTCTGATGGAAAACTGCTCCTGTTCTGCACACCACCAGGAATACATTACTGGAGGGTTGGTAGGGAGAGGAGGTAGACATTTATTTTTTTTTCCCCTGTAATTCTTGATAAAATGCAAGACACGATGCATTTGAAGCAAGAGAAGGTATGAGGTTTTCATACTGTGCTGCTCCTCACAGCTGGAACTAAAACACTGTATACAGAAGAAAGTATATACACCTGTAAACACCTAACTACCACTTCTGGGTTTCCAGTTTGTTGTTCTGGTTTTGTTTTTTTGTTTGTTTTTTTTTTTTTTTTTCTTCATAAAAAGGCCATTTTCACCCCTCTCTCCAGAAGGAAAAGACAGGAACAGAGTGTTAAAGAAGAAATCAAGCCAAAAGGTCTTGTCTATTCCTTCCCCATCCTGTTACTCCCGTTCCCCCCCACTTCAGCCTTCACTTCCTTCTTCCTTTGACAGTGACAAATGGCAAAAAAGGAAGGAAATGGTCATTGAAAACTTGTACTGGACAAAATTTGGAAAAAGATAAAACAGTCAAATATCACCAGGATATTTTCAACTTTTGCAACTCCAACCCTCAACATAGTTTTTTGGGGAAGGAGAATTTCAGTGGGAATTCTTCTTGCTCTCAAATATTCTTCTGTCTCAGGTGATCCTGGTAGCACTCGGGCAAAGGACAGTGACCTGCTGTAGCTTCCAATGAGCTGGAGGTGAGGTGCACCATGCCCTCCCTCCCACCCTCACCTTAGCTTTTGGGCAGGAGAGAAGCCATGCCCACCATAGCCCTAGTGCAGGGGTTAACTACCAAGCACTGGAACCACAGCTCCATCCTGGGCAAAGCTCTTGATATCCCCTGTGCAGGTATTGCAGTTTGCCAAAGGCTGGAAGATGAAAAAGGGTGGTAGGGACTGACCTGGAGGAAATGAAATCTCTTAGAAGAGCAGGGGTTTCTCAGATCTTAGGCTGTGTTTGTGTTGTGTGAGTTATGGGTATTCTGCAGTGGCTGTGTGGTTTGTGCTGGAACCTGGGGACTTCCCTGAGATTTTGCTTCCCTGGTGTGTGGCAAGAGGGGTTTGCTCAGGTGCTTTCCCCATCTTGAAGAGAGGTGGGCCTTGCACAGGTAGAAATAAGAGACATGAGCCAAATGACTTAGTTGCACAGCAAATGAAGGCTGGGAAAGAGACAGTCAGCAGTCATGAGGGCATATAGAGCACATCGGGTCTTGCAGTCCTTTGCTTTATCAGGTTGCATGTGCTTGTGTGTGTTAACCTCTTACAAATTAGCTAAATTGTGTTTGAATGGGGTAAGAGGGGAGTAATGTTCATCAAAGGAGAAGCTAAAATAACTTATTTCAAAAATTAAAGATTAAAATTTAAGACTTGAGACGCTGAGGAGATGTGCATCTGCTGCTATCCAGTTCCTTGTGCAGGGTAGCAGGAATAAACTTGAGGTATTAAAGGGAAACTCCTTCACTCCTGAACCTGCCACGGGAAGAGAAGAAATGTGCATGGATGGAGAGTGCAGAGGTTGTTTTGCTTTGGGTTATTTTTTAAACCCACAATAAGCCCTTCCCCCTCAACTGCTTGTGGAGCATGATCCTGCCTCTGGTTTGAATCCCTGACCCACAACTACAAAGGAGGACGTGTATTTTCAGAGCTGTCTGTTCTGGTTTGTCAAGCCTGAGCTTGGAAAGCTTTGTGGAAAGGAAAGGGATTCCCAGGGAGAAATGCTTTCAATGTCTGTGCAAAGCCTGTTGTGGGCAATTCCATCCTATCTTGGTTTTGGTGACATGCCAAGACCATTCTGCTAAATGGCTAATGGCTTTTTGATTCTTTTCTCCTGTTTTGTTTTGGTTTTTTTACTGGCTGTAAAATAGTTTCCTGCCCAGCCTGGGTTACAGCCAGGATGGGAGCTCTGGACTAGGATGGCTGGTTTGGACCAGAGGCGTGCTTACACTCAATCATTATTTTCCAGTGGCCACTAAACTTTTCCAAAACATGCTTTATCGAGTGTGCAGCTTTTGTTGTAGCACGGTGTCAATAGTGGTCTCTGGAGGAGGATGGGAATTACAGGCCATCTGGTGCCTTTCTGGACCTCATATTTCAGCAGGACATGAAATAGGCTTATTTTTCTCATGGAGAAATAAACCCTCCCTCAAGAATAAAAGCAACCTGTCACTTTCATACATCCTGGAGAAGGGCCATCACTGCAACATGAGCTTCCTCCCCACGTTCTAGCTTTGAAGTGAGGATGACCTGAGAGCTTGAATGAGGGTTTTTTGATCAAGCTCTCCAGAAGCAGAACTCTATGCTGGAATGCTCTAAGCAGCATGCATGTGGGCCCAGGAGCTGCTGAAGAGAAATCCCATCAGTGCACAGCAGTGCAAATCAGTAACCCTGGATTAGCTGGGATGGTGGGAGGCAGCCTAGCAATGGGAACTGGCCTGGTGCTGGGGCTCAGAACTTTGTGGAAATCATACCCAGGCAGCGTTAGTTTTTTGTGCAGTGCATTTGGATGAGGTAATGCCTTGGTTTGAAGGACAGGTGTCTGCCAAGAAAGGCAGGACCCTCTTTTTAAAATGGAGAATGTAAACCCCCTCCCTCCAAATTATTATGATTTTGAAATTAAGGGAGCTCTCAGGCAAAGATATGGGAATAGGAATAACAGTTCTTTACTAGGAAAATTAAGATAGAAATACAGTATTATAACAAACCCAAAAACACTGACAGAGTCAGAATACAACCTGACACTCTGTCAATCAGGGTGTTGGTAGCAGTCCCATTAAATGGTGGCTGCATCCTCCTGCAGTGACAGATGTGGTTCTGTTGGACAGTGTTCCTGTAGAAGGTGCAGTTTTCCTCCAAAGGTCCAGTGATGATGTCGAAGGGTCTGGTTTTTCCTCTGGAATCCAGTGGGAAAAGGCTGCCCTGATGTTCCAAATCTCAGTTTTTATCTAGGTAGGAATTGTTTGGCTCCTCCCCCTGGATGGGGCATCTCCCAATGGGATGATGGAATTTTATCAGTCATGCAGTGGGACTCAATGGCCCATTAACAGGAGATATCTTCCTGGGGGAAGGATGGGTTGTGGAAAAGATCAAGAACACTGCCCCAGCTGGTTTAACAGCTGGAACATTAACAGAAGAGATCTCCCACGGAGATGAGGATCACTGCCTCAGCTGGTTTCAATGGATGGTGATAGAATACACACTTTTGGGCACATCCTGTATTGCAACCTAACACGGGTTATAATTCCCCAGACAGACTGGGTGGCTGTGGCTCCCCTTGGTGTGATACATCAGTCAAGGAACAGGGAGATGGTGGTGGGGTTCTCTCTTCATGCTCCATGCCATCCTGCCTCCTGTGTGTCTATCTCTCATCAACAACACTGGGTTGTCCCGCGCCAAAAATGCTTTTGCAGGGCTCAGTTTACGCCTGCTTTACACCTTAGCTAAAGCATAAATTACCAGCCAAGTAAAACAGAGGCTCTGGAGCAGCCTCCAGTTGTCCTGTCCCATAAACTTCCTTGTCCAGGACCCCAAGCATGGGAGTCTGTCTCCACATAGGCAAGCAGTGTGGTCAGGCACAGTTAGTTTTTTCAGAACCTCTGGGTGGAGGATATTTGAACACTTTTCAGAATATTCATTTTACAGTGTTTAAGCTGAAAATAACAGGAAGTAATTTTTTTTCTTTTATGAAAGAATCAGATTTCAAAAGTTATTTGGTGCCTAAAATTTTTTTAATATGACCCCCACTCCAGCCTCTTTTGCAGTACAAGACAGGGGGTATCATTTTCCTTGCATCTGGGAGTTTTTGAGCTCAGTCTCACTTTCCTGTTTCTATGGTCAAGGGAGGCAGCAGCAAAACCTTTGCTGTTTGGCTTTGGGGCCCCTGTGAGGCTTCATCAGAAGAAAGGGGGATGATCCCTTTTGGAAAATTGGAGGTTCAGAATGTGTCAGATCAGTGTCTCCATGTGGATGTGGGTGTTTTGTGCTTTGGTAGGGGGAGAATTGTGCTTTGGTAGGTTTTGCTTTAATGACATTGCTACTGTGACATTGTGACAGAGGCTGGTGGGTAAATGTGTTGCAGTCAGCGTTTTTAGTTCACGAGGTTTGGACTTATACTATAAGTAGAGGTAATTAGTAATCTTGGTAAAAACTTTCCAAAAATTTTTCCTCTCTGGAAGGAAGGATGTTTTAGTGACTGTGAGCAGAGGTGTCAGCAGCACCTTCTGGTTGTTCTGGGCAGAGTCCCTTGGGCAAGCTGACGTTGGATACATTGAGCGATGGCAAAGCAATTTCCCACCGTCCAGTCCTATCAATAAATGCAATTTCCCTGGAGGGTGGGGGTGTGTGAAACTCGATTGCTGCGACAGGGGCTGGTTCTGGTTGTGTGCATCACACAGCCAGGCAGCAAGGCTGCAGGCTGGAGATATTTCCCCTCTCAGAGAAGGCTCTGTCCCTTCTGATGAGGTAATAAATGACGTTGTTGTCCCTGTGTAGCACTTCACAGAGGAGCCAGCCCTTTGCTCTTCTTTTCCCCAAGGCCTGTGTACTTATCATGATGGAGCACTGTGGTTATACTGCCTCTGTGAGAAACCCTCATTTGCATCTCATACCCAAATCTGTCCTCTTTTTCCTCTGCATCTGTCACATTTTTCCCACACTCCTGTGCTTTTGAGGTCAAACACAGCTGTGCAATAAGGCTTCTCCCTGTATGAAAGCATTGCAGGTTCTATTGGGAAGTGGCATAAGCTCCATCAGTATAACTGTGCTTATGCTGATTTAAAGCATCTACCTCATAGCTTTTATTAGCATAAGCCTCTTAATAAAGAGAGAAGAAATCGTAAGATTTTTAGGTACACCGATGTTGTAACTAGATCTAGGGACACATTTACTTTAATGTCAAATTGGTTTCACAGAGTATGTTATTTCAGTTAAATCTTCCAAAGTATGTGAGGACACCTCTATTTATGTTCCATTCACACTAATTTTAATTTATATTAAGTCCATCAGGATCAAGTTTGAGCTTAGTTGAACATGATGTTACTGCTCACAGTGTTTTTGATGGATTAGAAGCAACAGAGCTAAATCTTTCCAGTCCCTTGTGAGTCCCTTGCAGTTTCACTGACAGAAAAATGATCAGTTTTTTAAAACTACATTTATCAAAACAGCCTGCAGGCACAGGCACGCTTTCATCAATGTGACTATGTCCACTTATTACCCAAATGGTCTTTAAGCTGGAGTAATCATGCTTCAAAGTGGGCTACTCTGGTTTAATGTAGCCTAATTTGTTTTAATTTAGATGGGCAACACTGGCTGGGTAGAAAAGACCTGAGGGAACACCCTGCAGTGGATAGGTACTGCTGTTACTCAAGTCCTGCAATCTTCCCAGCAGAAATCCCATGGCTGGTGTCTGTGACAGCTCTCACCTTCTGCTTCCCAGGGCCCTGTGCTCCTTGTTGCTGTGCTGAGCATATCACAGGGACATAGCACACCCCGTGTCACTCAAACATCCCTGTGGCGGGGAAGATAGCTGGGAAGAAGG